AGACCTTGTGTTCTTGCGAGAATTTCTTTCCGCATGTTCGACATCGACTGCTGGTTTTCTGGCTCGATGGCTGCCTTCAGGTCCAGTGGTGGATCCAGCTCGGTGTCAGCTCACTATTGTGCAGACAGACATGGCCGTTGGCAAAGCGATCAAGGTTAGGGTCATAGCAAATTTTTTTAAAATTAGTTTCATAAAGTTACAAAGCTGTGCAGATGAATTGTCTATAATTTCTTATTACATCGTATTTATGTATCTCTTTCCAATGCACAGTTGTGGTGCTGCTGAGAACCGTATCTCAAAACTCCATTCAGATGTAAATGGGTGCAAAGCTTAAAAGATTGGTTGTAGTTACAGATGTTCTAATGATTAATTGTGATCGCAAACGTTTTCTTAACTTCCTCTCAAAATTTCTATCACAAAAAAATCGTATCAGCGAATAGAAAAATTTTCTTAAAGGATGTAAGGAATTTACTTTGTGAAGGAAAATTCGAGGTGTGAAATGAGAGGTTCCAGCTTGGGCGCAAGTAATGCTTTTTTCACGAAAAAAAATTTAGTAGCCATTCAAAAAATTGCAGCATCGACATCGCGATAACTCCTAAAATTCGAGTTTTAGATTCGACTTACAACCAAGGATCAGTTCGATCGCGAAGTGATGTGCACTTCCATGTGCGTCGAAGTATCAATGACAGCTGGTGATGCTTCCATCTATGCTTCGACACGATTCCCTTCAGCAACTTTGCCCTCAATAGAACTCATCAAAAAGGTCAGTTATAGCAAGAGTCTATCATTTTGATGATTAATGCAAATGTTATCAATTTGCAGAATCCCTTCCAACCTGTGCTTATGAATCGTTGCCGGTATATGTCAGTTTCTGCCATGCCTGCTTATTTGAACTACTCGTACGAAGAAATTCGTCTGGGTTTCACCAAAGCTACGGTTGTGAGAGAGAAGATCAGCTTGAAACACAAGAACAATTGCACGTAAGCTTTCTGAATTATCCGTCTGGGACAAGAGTTGATATCAGAATAAATCTTATCTTTTTAGCTTTGAAGGAGAGTGGACACCATCAGTAGCTGGAAGCTATCGGGTTGCATGTCGTGTTGATGGTTGTGAGCTTACGCATAACTATTTGATCGAAGTAGGTTCTTGTATTATGAGGGTTGACATTGTTAATCATTATTTTGCAGATATCAGAACGAGAAGAGCACACAAAACGACGAGAACCTCGCACAGCGCAGTTGAGTAGGTAGGTGACAAATTTTCGTTTTTCGAAAAAAATCGCTTTTTGTTTTTGTTATCAAAAATGATGACCCTATCTACTTGTTACAAGGACTCGCTTTTCCATTCTTTTGTTGTAGGGCTAGGAAAGCGACTATACCGGCCACTTTGCCTTTTCAAGCAATTCGTATGCGCCTGGGCACCTCGTTGACAGCACCTTGTGTCGGAACTATCCCACGGTGAGAATATTACCTTTTTTGCTATAACGTTTTCCAAGCGATTCATATGTTTGCAACCCGTTAGATTCGCAGTGTATAGACTTGGATAAATCGTCATACATGGTGTATATGTAATCTGGAAAAATTCGCAGTTTTTCATCAAACGGTACTTCATAATCCTGCTTGCTTGAAAAATCTGAGCACTCCGATTTTGGCGAGCGGCTGTGAAAGATTTATTGAGCAAGGTTCACCAGGTTTCCAGTTTTTTGAACTTTGCATCATTTTTTTGTAAGCTCAATGCTTCTACCCAAGAGTTTTCGCGATTTTTGAAATTCTGCTGATCTCTGTTCCTCATTGTGGGGCCGCTATTATCTTGAAAGCGCGTTTTCCTAAAAAAAATTTCTAACATTTTATGTGTTACAATAGTCGGTGAGATACTGTTTCAATCAAAGTTTTCTCTCGTTGATTCTTCTTTAATTATGAGATTTCTCTTTAGCGGCGGTACGATTTCGTATATAGAGAAAATCGAAAACGAGGATGGAAAATGGCTGCGATTGACCGATGAAACAGCAGTACTGTATGGTCATGGAAATATGTCTGGACAGGTGGGGTGTGCAATCATTATCTTTCTATCTTTCTAGTTCTTGAGTGCAGTACTCAATGCAAAGCAATTTATGATTAGGTTGCATCTATAAAGTTAGTATAGGATGTGCCAAAGTATGTATCCACTGTTTGATAATCGATATCTGTCTCTCAAGAGGTCGTTTGCCTACCATCAGGTATCTGTAGATCTGGCTTCAACATAATTGTATGGAGCGATTTACCGGTTTTTCTCCATCAATGCAGGTTTACCGGAAACTTTCTGCATATGGCGTCACTGTGAAAAGCCTGCCGTTTCGGATATTCCGATAAAATCTGTGAACTTGTTTTATGGGGTTTGTGGACCTGACTTTGATACTAAACTTTCACATGTGAAACTTTCTAAACCGTGTAAGCTAATTTTTTGAGCATCGAGAAAAGACTGCTACTTTACCTAGCATAACATTTTAACGAAGCGTTAGGGCGCGCATATATCACCAATTCTATATAGCCTAGTGCGAGGATTTCCAGGTGGTTTTTCGGCAAATTATGGCTTTTTATTGCTAAAACCCATCAGGTTTCTAACTTAATCTTACAGTAATGAAGTAGCGACCATTCCCTCTCTAGTGTGAAACTATTAAACCAGCTCTACAGAAGGTATCTATGTAATGCTCCTCGGGAAGAGATATTAAGCATGCACAATTGGTACTTTTTAGACACCCTCTATTTCATTGGAAACCTATGGCTGAAGTGCAAGTAAATTTGCTGCGTTCTTTGGACAGCATTTTTTACCAAAATTTCACAAATTTTCAACTGCCAACTTACCGTTCATATAAAAACAGTTTGTTTCTGGTCTCAGCTCTGTGTTTCAGGTATGGTGTCTTGCCTATCACCAACATCTCCATCGCGAACTGATTCCGATCGCTACCGATATCGCGGACAGGCTACC